CTTGCCTCCCAGATGAAGCTATGGTTTTAGAGCTAGAGAGACTCAGCGCTCAAGGCTGCTGAGGAACAGGACTGAGGACAGAGATGGGTGAGTGGATGTGGGGGCTGGAGGGTGGGGCCAGGTAGTCCTGGCTCTGGGCCCCTACCTGTTTCAGCCAGAACAGATTTGCTTGCGTGCATTAGGATTTGCAGTTCTGTTGAACACTTTCTGTTTGAAAAATGGATTCTGCTTTAAAAAACAAAAACAGCGTGAAAACCAGGTGAAAGTAGCGTTCACAAAGTGTTACAGGTACCCCTGGGCTGTGTGGGCTGCGAGGAGGTGGTTGGTTCCCCCTCAGCCCAAGGCAGTCTGCTCCTCCGCCCTGCTCTGCACTGCCCACTGACCCCTCACATGCAGCGCTCCCTTTTCTTCTCTGCAGCTGGGCTCCACTTCTGTATCTTCCTTGTCCAGTGCAGTAAGCGTTTGGTGGTGGATTGACTAATAGATAAACTTTTGAGTAACTTAGCACCATTGTCATCTCATGCCAGTACGTTTTACAGTACACAAACAAAACACTTTTATTTTCTTATTTTAAAAAAATTTTTATTTGGGGAACTTTCCTGGTAGTCCAGTGGTTAAGACTTCACCTTCCAGTGCAGGAGGTGTGGGCTCAATCCCTGGCTGTGGAGCTAAAATCTCACATGCCTCATGGCCAAAAATCCGAAACATAAAACAGAAGCAGTGTTATAACAAATTCAGTAAGGACTATTTAAAAAAATAATAAATTTGTTTAAAAAAATTAAAAATTCTTATTTTATGCTGAAGTATAGTTGATTTACAATGTTGTGTGTTTCAAGTGTATAGCAAAGTGATTCAGTTATTTATATGTGTATATCCACCCTTTTTCAGATTCTTTGTTCGTATAGAACAAACCACTTTTATATCTGTCTTTCCCTTCAAATCAACTTGGAGCTTTCAGGGTTACCAACTTCACAGAGGTGAATACTGAGGCTCAGGGAGGTGAAGAAACTTGAGGTCACATGATTGGTGGGTGGCAGATTTGAAACTTGGACCCAGGCCTTTGAATCCTGGCATTGGGCCCGTTCCTCTAGTGTGTGTGGCCTGAAAACACGGCCTTAATCCAGACATCAATTAATAAGTAACCTGTGCGTTACCCTCCACAGTTTCCCAGTACTCTCCACAGCCCTTCTGTGGGTGGGTGTACCCCACCTCTTTTCAGAGAGGGGGAGACTAGTGCTAGGAGGGTGGAAGTATCTCACCCAAGGCCGAACACTGTGGAACAGCTGAGCTGTGTTTGCTGCCCAGCTCTGCGTCCCCAACCAGCTCTGCTCCTTCCCTCACCTTCACTCCTGGTGCAGGGCCCGGAGGCATCTGGGGACAGGCCGGCTTCTCGGCAGCCCTCCAAGTCCAGCCTCCTGCAGCCTGAAGGCCTCACCCTCCCTGGCAGGCCCAGGAAACGGGTTGGCTCTGAGCGGCTGAGCAGCCCCTCCCGTGAGGCCTGGAGTTGTTTTTCTTATCTAAATAAACTCTGCACAAACATGGCCGCATTACTCATGAGTAAGTTATTTGCAATAGCGTGTTCCAGAGATGGGGAAATTAGTTCACACTGGAACCACATCTTAACCTGGTAAATGAATGGGGAACAGGAAGGAGTTTTAGACCCAGGTCAGTGGAATCCAAAACCTACTTCTTTGAGCATCCCTCTCCACCTCAAGCCTGGGGAACACGTTTGCACCTGGTCATATACCCTGTGGGCCCCATGAAGGACAGGCAGCACTAATCTCTGCCCGGAGCAGTGGGCCAGTGAGCTCCGAGGGCCCAGGACCCTGTCTCCCATGGTGTCCACCTTTTCCCACCATCTTCTTCTTTTTTTTAAGTATTTCTTTAAAAAAATGTTTTATTATTATTATTGTTATTTTATTCATTTTTTGTTTTTTTAGGCTGTGCCGTGCAGCATGTGGGATCTTTGTTCCCGGGAATCGAACCCATGTCCCCTGCATTGGAAGCACAGAATCTTAACCACTGGACTGCTAGGGAAGTCACACCAGCTTCCTAAGGGAAGAGGGTAGGGAAGCTTTGCTTAATCCTCAGGTCTTTTGTAAAATGGTTGCTGAAGTCAGTTCAGTTCAGTCACTCAGTCGTGTCCAACTCTTCGAGACCCCATGGACTACAGCAGGCCAGGCCTCCCTGTCCATCACCAACTCCTGGAGCCAGCTCACACTCATGTTCATCGAGTCAGTGATGCCATCAAACCATCTCATCCTCTGTTGTCCCCTTCTCCTCTTGCCTTCAATCCTTCCCAGCATCAGGGTATTTTCCAATGAGTCAGCTCTTCGAATCTGGTGGCCAAAGTGTTGGAGCTTCAGCTTCAGCATCAGTCCTTCCAATGAATATTTAGGACTGATTTCCTTTACCATTGACTGATTTGATCTCCTTGCAGTCCAAGGGAGACTCTCAGGAGTCTTCTCCAACACCACATTTCAAAAGCATCAATTCTTCGGTGCTCAGCTTTCTTTATAGTCCAACTCTCACATCCATACATGACTACTGGAAAAATCATAGCTTTGACTAGATGGACCTTTGTTGGCAAAGTAATGTCTCTGCTTTTTAATATGCTGTCTAGGTTGGTCATAGGTTTTCCTCCAAGGAGCAAGCAGTCACCATCTGAAGTGATTTTGGAGCCCATGAAAATACAGTATGTCACTGTTTCCATTGTTTCCCCATCTATTTGCCATGAAGTGATGGGACAGGATTCCATGATCTTTTTTTGAATGTTGAGTTTTAAGCCAACTTTTTTCACTCTCCTCTTTCAACATCATCAAGAGGCTCTTTAGTTCCTCTTCACTTTCTACTATAAGGGTGGTGTCATCTGCAAGTCTGAGGTTATTGATATTTCTCCCGACAATCTTGATTCTAGCTTGTGCTTCATCCAGCCCAGCGTTTCTCATGATGTACTCTGCATATAAGTTAAATAAGCAGGGTGACAATATACAGCCTTGATGTACTCCTTTTCCTATTTGGAACCAGTCTGTTGTTCCATGTCCAGCTCTGACTGTTGCTTCTTGACCTACACACAGATTTCTCAGGAGGCAGGTCAGGTGGTCTGGTATTCCCATCTCTTGAAGAATTTTCCACAGTTTATTGTATCCACACAGTCAAAGACTTTGGCAGAGTCAATAAAGCAGAAGTAGATGTTTTTCAGGAGAAAGCAATGGCAACCCACTCCAGTACTCTTGCCTGGAAAATCCCATGAATGGAGGTGCCTGGTAGGCTACAGTCCATGGGGTCACGAAGTCGGACATGGCTCAGCGACTTCACTTTCACTTTTCACTGTCATGCATTGGAGAAGGAAATGGCAACCCACTCCAGTGTTCTCCTTGCCTGGAGAATCCCAGGGATGGGGGAGCCTGGTGGGCTGCCGTCTACGGGGTCGCACAGAGTTGGACACGACTGACATGACTTAGCAGCAGCAAATGTTTTTGTGGAACTCTCTTGCTTTTTCTATGATCCAATGGATGTTGGCAATTGGATCTCTGGTTTCTCTGCCTTTTCTAAATCCAGCTTGAACATCTGGAGGTTCATGTACTGTTGAAGCCTCGCTTGGAGAATTTTGAGCATTACTTTGTTAGCATGTGAGATGAGTGTAATTGTGTGGTAGTTTGAACATTCTTTGGCATTGCCTTTCTTTGGGATTGGAATGAAAATTGACCTTTTCCAGTCCTGTGGCCACTGCTGAGTTTTCCAAATTTGCTGGCATATTGAGTATAGTACTTTCACAGCATCATCTTTTAGGATTTGAAATAGCTCAACTGGAACTCCATCACCTCCACTAGCTTTGTTTGTGGTGATGCTTCCTAAGGCCCACTTGACTTCCCATTCCAGGATGTCGATCTCTAGGTGAGTGATCGTGGTTATCTGGGTCAGGAAGATCTTTTTTGCATAGTTCTGATTATTCTTGCCACCTCTTCTTAATATCTTCTGCTTCTGTTAGGTCCATGCCATTTCTGTCCTTTATTGTGCCCATCTTTGCATGAAATGTTCCTTTGGTATGTCTAATTTTCTTGAAGAGATCTCTAGTCTTTCCCATTCTATTGTTTCCTCTATTTCTTTGCATTGATGGCTGAGGAAGGCTTTCTTGTCTCTCCTTGCTATTCTTTGGAACTCTGCATTCAAATATATATCTTTTATATAAAAGGTATATCTTTCCTCATCTCCTTTGCCTTTAGCTTCTCTTCTTTTCTCAGCTATTTGTATGGCCTCCTCAGACAACTATTTTGCATTATTGCATTTCTTTTTCTTGGTGATGGTCTTGATCACCACCTCCTGTACAATGTTGCACTCCTCCATCCATAGTTCTTCAGGCACTCTTGTCTATCAAATCTAATCCCTTGAATATTTGTCACTTCCACTGTATAATCATAAGGGATTTGATTTAGGTCATACCTGAATGGTCTAGTGGTTTTTCCCTACTTTCTTCGATTTAAATCTGAATTTTGCTATAAGAAGTTCATGATCTGAGCCACAACACCTGGTTTAACTAAACTCCTTCAGCTTCTGGAGCTGGTTCTTTCATAGGAAGACCCTGGGATCAGGGAAGGGAGGGGCTCAGGAGCTGTTATGTAAATGAGGATACAGTGCCTGGCAAATCACCTTTGTTGTTTTGACTGTCCCAGGTATTCAAGTGTGGGAAAGAGAGAAGATGCTAAAAGTGGCTCTTGTTGGCCCACTAGCAAGTGTGTGCTGTGCATGTGCTAAGCCGCTTCAGGCATGTCTGACTCTTTGCCACCCTATGGACTGTAGCCTTCCAGGCTCCCCTGTCCATGGGATTCTCCAGGCAGGAATGTTGGAGTGGGTTACCATGCCCTCCTCCAGGGGATCATCCTGACCCAGGGATCGAACCTGTCTCTTATATCTCTTGCATCGGCAGCCAGGTTCTTTACTACTAGTGCCAGCGGGGAAAGATTTCACATCTACTCTGTCAGGTGTGTCCATTACCTCACCTTGTAGGTGAGGGCCTGAATCTCACAGAAGCTCTGTGATGTGCTCAAGGTAGATGGGGAGTGGATCATAAACCTCGGACAGTGGGGTTTGCATTTGCAAAGGACCCTTGGACATAAGGTCTTAAGAGAATTCCTGGCAGCGCTGGGAAAGGAACTTTAGTCCTTGGCTCCTAGTTGAAATCCTGGGTTCAGCAGAATGTTTCTCAGGTGCTGTTTCTAGTCCCAGACTTGAGTATATTGGCCCCATGGAACATGGGAACTGCATTTGAGTTTTGTCCAGGACTCTGGCCTGTGGTACCCGGGCTGTGTGGTCACAGGGACCCCTTTGTCCTCTTTACCAGCTTCAGAATGATGGGCTCTAGGTTGGAGAGGCTGTGCTATTGCATGCTGCGGTTCTTGTCCTGGGGGCCTTTTCTCATCGCCTTGCACAAGGACAGGGCTGAGGCGAGACCCCGAGACACCCTGAGAGATTCAGTCTCCACATACCACATTCCAGCAAAAATAGTCTAAACTTGATAACTTGCCTCCCATCCATGTGTGTTGAACTCAAGTATCTTTGCCTAGAAATTCTGCTTGTAAAATGCAAGAAAGTTGAACTTTTCTCCTTGGCTGCAAGTGGGGCAGGAGGGGGAGGGTGCTTTGCAGCAGGCTTAAGCCACTTCTTGTTCTGCCTCCTTATACATAGTGGGTGCTCAGCCCCCATCTTCTGAATTGAATGATGTATGCTTACTTCCCAAAGAGAACTAAGTCTAAGCTGTACTGTGTGAGGTGTGGGCAGAGAGTCTGTGCCAGCCTAGCTGAGGCACACACGTGCACACACACACCTACACACACATGCATGGGGAGGAGGCATAGGAGGACAGTGTGTGTGGACTCATTCACCCTCCTTGTTCCAGCTTAAAGGGACAGCAAAATTAAAACGTGTTGTTCCCTTTCCTAATTAATATCTGAGTTCAAGGGTCTTCCTTGGAGGTCCAATGGTTAAGACTTTGCCTTCCAGTGCAGCAGGTGAGGGTTCAATCCCTAGTCAGAGAACTAAGATCCCACATGCCTTGCCACCAAAAAACCAAAATATAAATCAGAAACAGTATTGTAGCAAATTCAATAAAGACTTAAAAAAGAAATCCAAGTTTGGGATCCCCACACTTACCCAGGTTCCAACTGATCCCTGATGTTGACTGTCCTTTAAGGACAAGTTTCTCACAGAAGGATCAACTGTTAGCCCTGAACTGAATGGCTAGAATGCTGGCCTGGAACCCACAACATCACAGAAGATGCAGTTCCATAAAGGGATTTTAGAGTTTCCTGATGCAGCCCCAGGCAGATGCAAGGGATGGGTATGCTTTCCTACTTAAAACCAGCTCTGCTTAAAAAATAACATTGGAGGCAAAAATACACTTAATGAAGGTGTGACACACCGCCAAACCACAGCCAGTGGGGTTTGAGTTTGAGAGGGAGTGTATAATTGTGTGTGTTTTAGGCATTAAGGTAATGTGCCCTCACTTGGAAAAATCTGAGGGGAGTAGAGAGCAACCTGTAAAAATATGAGTCCATGCTGGTCGGGAGTTTACCTCCACGCTCACTAGCTAAGCTGTAGGATAGCTAGTGTTTGTGTACGCTCACTATTTTCCTTCATTCCATCAAATATTTTTGGGAAGACTGCTTTGTGTCAGGCAGTATCCTGGACACTTGGTGACATACCTGTTAATTAGACAGATGAGTTCTGATCTGTGTATTCAAGTCAGTGGGAACAGCACTTGTCTTTTCTGGCTCTTGAATTAAACTACCTGCTACCCAAGGGCAGGAGGCCAGGCTCTCCTGGAGGCATTGCTTCCACCCATCACCCTGAACAAGGGTGCCTACGATGGAAGCTGAGGCCTGGGCCCCAGCCGGCTGACAATGCACGCACTTTCCATCTTTCACCTCCTCTCCTCGGCTCCTCTCCTGGGCTTCCTGGGCGCCCTTGGCAGGAAGGGGCCCTGACAGTTTAGCTGTTGATTGAAACTGACAAGGGCTCGAGCTGTTTTCCTCCCACAGTCATTTACATCGAGTTAGGGGATTCCCAGAGACCAGGGGATGCGTCTTTATTGGTGAATTAGAAGGTCAGAGCTGGAAGAGGTGCAGAGGCAAACAGGCTCCAACTGGAGGGATGACAGCTCTGTGGCAGAGTTTAAAGGAGGGTCCCAAGGCAGAAAAGAACTCAGAAAGCCATTCTGCCAGGATGTCTGCCATGGATGCAAAGAGGGGTGTTTGAGTCTTGTGTTCAAACCCAAGACCACGCCAATCCCTTCCTCTTACAGACGAGGAAGCTGAGACCGGGGGTGTAAGTAACATACACGCTAGAGCAGGTCCATTGATAGAACCAAACTCTCCACCCTTCCCGACCCCTCCCCCCACCCAGCACTCCAGTCAGTTCTGCCACTTAACCAGGTTTTAAGCCCTTCATAGAAAAGTCCTCCCCAAGTCACAACCATTCCTTTCATCTGTGGATGAGGCTGGTCCAGATCAGGAGTTGAGTATCATAATTCATGCTGCTCCTATGTTCCTTTTGATCCCTGACATTTCCTAGTAATTGTTTGGGGGCAGTAAAATACAGTGCAACGGAAGCTGAATCCATACCAGGAACTACAGGATTGTGGGGCAGGATGTCTGGATTTCAGCAACTGGCACCTCAAACCAATCTTCATGTAAATCCTTCCACGCATTCCATACAGATTGGCTTTCTGACATCCCCTAATCCAGTGGCCAAGTGAGCATGGGGCTGAAAGCATGCAGTGTAAGTCAGGATTCTACATTTTAGTTATGAGACCATGGGCACATCATTTAATCTTTCTGGGCCTCAATTGCCTGACTATTAATTCAATTCATCACCAAACATTTATTGAGTACTTTTAGTGGGCTCAAGCACAGGTGTTGGGGTGAGAAAAATATGACAAGGGGTTTAAGATCTACTATAATGAATTAATTATTAATGTTGATGTGAAAGTAATTGTTGAAATTTGTTGCTTGATATTGGGATACTTTCTTGAATAAATGTGATTATGTTATACATCATTTTAATGCACATTTCTCTCTTCAGTTTTTTTTTTTTTGCTAATGACATTATTTGCTGTTTATATTTATTTTAACTAGGGAAATGATATTAGACAAAAAGCAAATTTGAGCAATTTTTTAATTTGAGTTCAAAATGTTTCATAAAGCAGCAGAGACAACTTACAACATCAACAATGCATTTGGCTCAGGAACTGGAATGAATGTACAGTGCAGTAGTGGTTCAAGAAGTTTTGCAAAGGAGACAAGAGTCTTGAAGACGAGGAGCGCAGTGGCTGGCCATCAGAAGGTGACAACATCAGCCATTCTCTGGTTGTTCGGCATTTGAAGCAAATTCAGTTCAGTTCACTCAGTCGTGTCCGACTTTTGCAGCCCCATGGGCTGCAGCACGCCAGGCCTCCCTGTCCAAATTAGAAAGGTGAAAAAGCCTGATGAGTGGGTGCCTCATGAGCTGACCACAAATCCAAAAAAAAATCGTCATTTTGAAGTGTCATCTTCTCTTATTCTACACAACAACAACAAACCATTTCTTGATGGATTGTGACGTGAGGCAAAAAGTGGATTTTATATGACAACTGGCAATGATCAGCTCAGTAGCTGGACCAAGAAGCAGCTCCAAAGCACTTTCCAAAGCCAAACTTGCACTGAAAAAAGGTCATGGTCACTGTATGGTGGTCTGCTGCTGGTCTGATCAACTACAGCTTTCTGAATCCCAGTGAAACCACTACTTCTGAGAAGTATGCTCAGCAGATCAATGAGACGTACTAAAAACTGCAATGCCTGAAGCCAGCATGGGTCAACAAAAATGGTCCGATCCTTCTCCACAACAACGTCCAATGGCATGTCACACAACCAACGCTTCAAAGTTGAATGAATTGGGCTATGAAGTTTTGCCTCATCCACCATATTCACCTGACCTCTTGCCAACCGACTACCACTTCTTCAAGTATTTCAATAACTTTTTTCAGGGAGAACACTTCTGCAACCAGCGGGAGGCAGAAAATGCTTTGCAAGAGCTCATTGAATTCCAAAGCAGGGATTTTTTAAGGGATTTTTATACTACAGGAATAAATCAACTTACTTCTCATTGGCAAAAATGTGTTGATTGTAATGGTTCATAAAGATGTGTCTGACCCATAATGACTTAAAATCCATGGTTCAAAACCACAATAACTTTTTCACAATATTTTAACAATAACCTTTAATAAGTAAACAGATAACTGCACGAATAAGTCCTAAGTATGAGTATAGAGGTCTGAACATGATAGAGGAGGAAAGGCTTCATGAAGTGGGTGCTGCTCCAGCCTAGACTTGGATGGAAGGAGTGTTCAACTAGTTGAAAGGGTGGGATGTGGAGATGGGAGGGATGGCAAGGAAACCAAAGTCAAGGAGTGGTGTGAGCAAAGATGCTGTGGTGTAAAAGGACCAGGGGTACTTGTGATGTGCCTGGAGAAAGGATGTGATGTCGGTGAAGCAAGAGAGATGAGGCTGCAGACAGACTGGCCCCATCACTCAGCACCTTCACTCCATATGAAAGACTATGGACTCTGTGCTCTAGAGGTATGCTGTCCAACAGGGGAGCCACTAGCCACAAGTGGCTATTGAGCACTTGAAACGTGGCCAGTCCAAATTGAGATGCAAGCATAAAGCACCCAGCAGATTTCAAAGACTGCACAAAAAAAGAATATAGAGATGATTTTTATGGTGTTTACATGTTAAAATGATATACAGGATATGTTGGGTTGTGTGCATGCTACATCACTTCAGTCATGTTAAAGTCTTTGCCGGACTGTAGCCCACAGTGGCTCCTCTGTCCATGGGATTTCCCAGGCAAGAATACTGGAGAGGATTGTCATTTCCTCCTCCAAGGGATCTTCCCAATCCAGGGATCGAACCCCCGTCTTCTGTGTCTCCTGCATTTCAGGCAGATTCTTTACCACTGAGCCCTATGTAGGGTTACATCAAATATATTAACTTCACCTGTTTCTTTTTCCTTTTTAAAAATAACATAGCCTCAA